TGGATTTTAACATTGACTCTTTTCTGGCAGGATGCTCGTAGGAGCAGTGGTTACGCTGTCACAGCAAGAGAATTCCTGGTTTAAACCCACTGACTGGAAATATACTGAAACAAACATGTCCATTAACCTGTGGGGCCTTTTTGTGTGGGGAGTTCGCATGTTCTCTTTGTGTACTCTGGCTTCTTCCCACAGACATGCATGCTAGGCTGATTGGTGATGGTAAATTGCCCAGGTGTTCATGTGAGCACGAACGGTTGTCTCTAGGTGTGCAATAAACTGGTGCACCCCGCCTTTCCCCCTATGACAGCTGGGACGGGCTCCAGCATACCTTTACCCTTAGCTGGACAAGCAGTTTAAGATAATGGGTGGATATTATTCTTCCCTACACCTAACCAGAGTTTTGTTGACTAAACCTATTCAAACTGTAAGAGAAAGCTGAATGGAATATAAAAGAATTGAAAGCTTTCTTCTAGAAAGCCTTTCTGGCGCAAAGTCATGAAGGCAAACTTCTCTCAATAGCCATCACACCACAAAATGAAATGAATAATAAAAATTCTACTGCTCTCCACTTTTCTCTTTCCCCATGTGTCTCTCACCCTCTTTGCTCATATATCACTCATTTGCCCAAAGTAATCCACATACCACTTTGCCTTTTCTTCTTAATTTGTATTCACCTTTTCTCCTGCTCAAAGGTTTTCATTTCTCTGTCTTACCTTGCATTTTATTCTTTGGCTGCGCCTTTTACCTTGATCGTTTCACTCTGTTCTTTTAAAAGTAATCTTGTCCTCTTTTTATTCTCTTTCACTTTTGCTCTCTTTTTTTTGTTAATTAACAGGGACCGCGCACAGATTCAATTTCAGTGTCAGATCAAATAGATTTGCATTGCATATGCTGTTTTGCTTACTGTGCTGTGCCTCCTCTGTTAATCAAGACGTCATCTGTTCTCCTGCCTTTTTCTCGGGCTTTCACCAGAATTTCAAGTTTTATGGAAGAAACACCATATTGACAACTTATTTCTCTCTCTCCGAGGGGCGAGTCATGTTTCCTCTTTCATCTTCCATTCATCTGCTCGTGCTACTTTTTCCCTCTGTTTTTCATCACCCTTTTTTTCATAAGTGTTGGTATTGTGTCCTTATTTGCTTGTCTCTAAATACTTGTCACATTTTTTAATTCTTAATGTCGTTGTTCTCTAAGTATAACAATCTCCATGTAGTCATTTAGTTCCTAATTACTGAGTCTACATGAAAACAGATCATAGTGCCTTTGAAGGCGCTAACTTTTTTGATGGGGCCAAACCAATTACCTCTCACATCATGAACAACTGACAGCTGCTTTCTGTATTGGTGAAAATCTCAGATAAGGCAGCGAGTGTGAATCCATTCCGCAAGCAGATCAGGAGAAAACAAAATTATGTTGTAGTTTTTTTATTTGTTAAAATTATTTAACGACTGGCCTGAGTAAAACCAAGAGTCATAACTGTTCCTCCTATCATTTCCCTCCGTCTTGTTGTTTTAGCTACTCTATTATCCTCTATAGTGCAATCTGTCAGCCTTTCTTCTTCTCAGAACATATCTCATCCCTCCCCGCATGTTTGAAATCTCTTTGGAGTCCAAATGCTAATTCAGTCAGGCACTTAATCAGACATATTAATTCCATATCTCCCCTGATTGCACTAATTCCACTCTGCAACGAGTTCCTGTGCGGCATTCTCGGTTCAGCAGCATTTCAAACTGTTGTGCTAACCAAGGTTTGTAAAAGTGTTTCTTTTAAACAGCAAATTATAAAGCTTTTACAGGGAATTTTTTTTTAGGGATAATATGTTGAGGACAAAGCTACATGCTGTAGTCTGTGATGTATCCCTAATTGTATTTTCTCTTAGCCTTCAGCCCTACAGGGCTTCCAATTCTACTGGACTTGAAAATAGCCATGTTTTGCATCACTCTAAAACACTACAGATGAAACTATTCTGTTACAATAGACAGACCTCATCCTGCACCAGTTTCTGAATTGCAGATAAGAAGATCTGGCAGTATGACATCATACCATCAGACACCATATTTCAAGCAAGTCTGGTTGTCAGTAGGAGTGATGATCAACTGTACTAGCACATACAGGCATGCAAACATACACAGGCACGCACACACACACTGACACACACACATGGAGAAAAAAAAAATCTGATTTTTCCAGAAAAGCCTGTAAGCCCCTATATTGTCTACCAACAAACTGTGCACATAGCTGAGGCATGTATTAATTAATAACATAGATTTGGTCGCATTCTAATTTAATTAAGTCCCAGATCATGTAATTGAGAGAATTATGAAATGGCTTTCTTTGTTCCAGATAATTGTATTCTATCTAAATGCCTACTTTTAAGTCTGTTAATTTGTTTTATCTCGTCACCATTATCTTCCTCATTCTGTTGTTTTTAGTAGAAAATATAGCTTGGAATCCATGTGTGCTTGTACAACACATCAAAGCAAACTTGAGAGATTTCATGGATCTTTTAAAGCTCTTGATATAATCATACTGCTTTTAGTAGTAAAATATGATATAAAAGAGGAACAGTATGCACACATTTGCTCTAACATGTCTATAGACATTTAATTTTTAACAAAGGTGTTTATTGTGTATACAGTGTGTTTCTTTCTTTTTTCCTTTTTTTCCTCTTAGTGTCACTTACTGGTTGGTGAGAGCCTTCTACTAGACACACATGGATTTACCATTAGATAATGACAAATGGAAGGCTCAGCTGAGCTGATTTCAGCACTTACTGCTCCTTTGGGAGATGCATTTACCACACTGCAAACCACACGGGCCAGCCCCACCAAAGACCTTAATTGAACGAGTGGATGTGTAGTCAGTTGAATCATCCTGACATGCCTTTCTGGTCTTTTCTAGTGGGTAATGTAGTGTGATCTGCTGGTCAAAATATGCTGAGATCCTGGACAGAAAACAGTGAAGTAAGACTTTGTTAGGCTACATGGCTTGTTTTCTTTTTTTAAGGCTGACTATGGGTTTAACCTGGTACAAATAAGTGTTGTTCCTTTTAATTTAAATACAACACCTTAGTGCTGCTCGTCTGTACTAGACTACATTTTTATCTTGTTTTTTTTTCTTATTAGCTATTTTTTATTTGCAAACTGTCACTATCCTTACCTGTTTAGACCATTTTTTTTAAATAACACACTGCATAATGATGTTTAGAAAATAACAATGTATCATTTTGATAACATTGGGGATACATTTTCAAGGCTTGGCATTTATTCTATTATTCTAGATCATCCATGGGTTGCTATGTCTTACCTTGTAGTTAAATGACAAAATATAGTATACTGACTGAAGAAACACATCATACTTTCTTATCCTACAAATGTCCAAACACCATCAAAGTCGCAGCTGTCTCCGACAGACCAGACTTTTTTCTTAATTAGAAAAAAACACATACGTCTTTTAAAACACAGGCTCGAAACGTGCTTTTTAAAAATGTAATAATGTAGATCTTTGTCAGAGGAAGACAAAAGTCAGAAGGCGTTTTTCTCTGTGGAGGATAGAAGGTGGGGGGTGGAAGGGTGGTCACAATATTGATGTTGTTGATAATAACAACAGTGATAATGATTATAGCACAAACTCCGTATCCATCATCGCTATCATCTACTTTGTCGACATAATTGGTCATTTTTAGCAAAGTTTAAGACAGATAGCACTGAATACTTCTCCCTCAACTAATTGTGTTACAATAGCTATTGATAAACTTACTTATTCCAGTAAGGGATCTTGTCATTGCTTACCAATTTTAAACATGTATATGTGTTATTTACAGCTATAGACTTGGATTGAGGTATACTTTTATTAAGGACTGATGGTAAATGATATTCTATTTATATTCCTACATATCATCAAGATTCACGACATGTTCATGAGTGCTAAAGTATTCAGGTTCCTTTTTTCTCCTGTGAGCTACACTGTTGTGCAAAGTGACCTCTCCCCTCCTTTCGATGAGTTTATTTTGAGTCAACTACATCTGCTATAAATAGACCTACTCACCAAAGATCACCAAATCTGTGCCAATTGCCAATTGTCAAAAAGCTCTGGGGCTAGTGGGGGAAATTATTATTATTATTGCTGTTATAATTATTAAATGTATTCAATTGTATTAAACTGTATATAACTCATTGATGTCCATTCTATTCTGCTCTAGTCTTTTCAGTTTAACTTTGCATTAAATATGAGAAAGATATCTCTATGTTGTGGCTATTAACTGGTATGTCTTTGGATTCAATGTAAACGTAATACAGAGACCATACTTACTGGCAATTTTGTGTAAATGAGAAATCTTTAATCAGGGATGGCTGTTATGATTGCTTATGATTGTTATTGTAGTAACAACCCAGTTGATCAAACATACACTTATTTAGATTCAGGGTTCCTGCACTATACTAATGGATACCCTGCAGGATGGAGAGCTTTATCTCCATTTGCTTTTGTCCCCCATAATTTATTCAACAGGGTCTGTCCTCTGTGTGTCCGTGTTTGTGTGTTCAGGCTCTGAGTGTTTGTGTGTGTGCTGTGTGTATATGTGTTTTGCAGTGTGTTTGTGGGGTTTTATGGCTTTGACTGTCCCGTCGTCCCTGAGGACTGAGCTCTTCCGACATACAGTAGCATACTATAAAGTCCCTCTTGTTAGATGGAGGGTCTCAGAGGTACTAAAATATCAGCATCAGCAGAGAGTGCTGAGGAAGTAGTTGAAAGGAAAACTAACAAGATGACTCAATGATTATTTAGAAACAGTAAAGAGAATTTTGAATTAGCTGTACTCTATCCTGAGGGTTTAAAAAAATTGCATTTTTGGTAGCTGAGTAGATACATCATGATCTTTCCAAAAATGTGCATTATTCATGGACTCTATTCCATGGAGCCCGGGGAATGGAGTGGACAGAAACTGTATTGCTCCAAATCTATTTTAAAGTTTGCTTACATTTATCCTCTTTTATTTGCAGGTCCAGCATTTTGGTGGATTGAAAGCTAATATGTGGATGATTAAAACCCCTTGGATCTTGACTGAGCTGGCAGGTAAGACTTAGGCAGAGCTTGGCTCAACCTTGGTGATTTTCTTTGCTGGTCAAAGAGACATACATGGTTTGTCTGATGCTTTCAGAGAAAAAGATGCACACATAGAAATGTGTAAAAAATTATTTGTTTTGCTTGTCATGCATATTTCATTGATATGAAATAATGTATCATTTCACACCTATGTCTAAACCCATTGAAAACAAGGACATTATCAAGAACACGTCTTTTTGGTTCAGAGAAAATTCTGATAATTGACCTTTTTGATCAAAACAAGCCTGTTTTTTTTTTGTTTTGTTTTTTTTTGTTTTAATTAAAGAACACTTTTGATATATTTTTCAAGGTTTGGCATCAGAACACATCTAAATGTGTGGGATTAAGTCCAGTTAACACATTGGTAAATAAACTGGTCAGTTAATGACCTCATTGATGAAGATGGACAGAGAGAAACTTGATACTCCTCTAGACTTTACCCCATCACAGTGAAAATAGAAATTACTTGATGTTAGGCTGTGGATATAGTTGAAAAAGGAGCTAGAACTATTGAAGTGTAAAACTAAAAAGAAGCTTATGACTCTCAGTAGTTATTCTATGCTGGTGCCTATGTTCACAAAAAGTCTATTTTCAC